CACAGATTATTACTGAGGTTGATGTGGTTTCATTTGTCTTACAGGTGCTGGTTCACCTCTGCCTATTTTATAATGAACTAGCTGTGCCTGCCACACATTGCTGTGGCCAACCTTCCCTCCCTCTTTCTCTCCTCTTTCTTTCTCTCCTTCCTTCCCTTTTTTCCTTTCATTCTCTCCTTCCTTCCTTCCTTCTCTTCCTCATCCCTTCCCTCCCTTTTCTTTCCCTTCCTCTTTCTCCCTGTTCTTCCTTCTCTACCTCTTCTTGGACTGCATCTATCTATCTATCTATCTATCTATCTATCTATCTATCTCTATCTAATCTATCTATCTTATCTATCTGGAGGATTGCTGGGAGTTGCAGTCCAGGAATAGGAAATTGGAAATATGCAGGGATTGGGATGCTCTCAAAGAAATTCAGGGAGAAGAAAGCTTGCAGCTTGGAAGCAGTGCATTTTGATTATCATCCTCTCCTAAAGGGCCTGGTCTAGGGGATGCTGGGAGCTGTACTCCGAAAGAGAGTGTGTATATGCTATGGTTTGTTTTGTTTGCCAGGGGAGTTGTTTTTGTGCATGTGCTGCAGTGTCTTTTTGCTTTTTTGGTCTTTTAAGTCCCTTCTGTTGTGTTTTTCAGTATTTTTATGTGTGATGGTCACTCATTGGCCTGTTAGGTGTGTTGTGTCCAAATTTGGTGTCAATTCATCCAGTGTTTTTTGAGTTATGTTAATCCCACAAATGAACATTACATTTTTATTTATATAGATAAGAACAAGTACACAAGACATTTGAAGGCATTCGTGACCTCGTTCCTTACTTTTCAGGATGGGGGTCTACAACTCAAGGTCCTTGCAATTGAGTGCCTTAGACTCTGGAATGTATTTTCTCATTGTTCCAAATTAACAGCAATCTGTTAACCTTCAGGCTTGAGACAAAGCTTTTCTTATATCCTTGTATAAAAGATGGAGAGAACTGCATTTGTTTTGTTTAGAGTGATGAAAATTTAATTGAATTCTAAGTTACAAAATACATGAAATATTCAGCATGCTATTTTGACTTACATATAAATCTTGGGATTGTTTTGTTAAATTCGGATTCACTTTTTATGTTTGGTATTATTATTATTATAGTAATTGGTCCATTAAAATAGAATCTAGTGAGCGCAATTATATTCTGTGCTTACATTTTTCTGCAATGTTTCTAGATTTTTGTCACTTTCATTCATAGACCAGTCATTTATAAAGATGCTGGTGACCCCATTAAATGGGAAATGAGTATAGGAGTTAATGGTGGCCTTTTGAAAAGGCATATTTTAGTTGCTTTTGTAAGGACAAAATGGCTACGGTTAATGGATTAATTTAAATTCAAGATGTTTGATGTATGATCAAACATCTGTCATGTTATTTTGATTTTGCCTTCATTGAAAAAACTCTGCATTGCATTCGTAGTCAGATATTCAACATGTATAGGCACAGATTGCATTACCTTTTGTTTTACATCTTTGCAAATAGGCTTTTTCAAAGTCAATACACTTCTGTGAAGAGGGGGAAAATCAAAATATGGAAATTTCTACCATATCATAAATGCCAGATATCATTGTGAAGTATGAGAACTAGTGCTTCAGTACAGAAGTGTATATACCATTGTAACTGGTCCCAAAATATTGGGTGAATAATCATGTTTTACTGGATATTGCAGTGAGTGTAGTGCTCAATGGATTCAAATTACAAGAAGGAAGATTTTGACCAAATATTAACAATAGCTTTCTGTTGCATGAGATGCTTGGCAGTGAGACAGACTGCCTTAAAGTGTTCTTCACTTGAGGTTCTAATACAGCGCCCACAGGCTCATCAGCCATGTTACTTTAGATGTCTGTTTCCTTCTTTGGCAGGGAGTTGACCCTTGGGTCCCTTCTATAATTTAATAAATAAGTTATACATTATATGAATAAATTATACATTACATAAATAATGATTGATCATGTCTTTGAAAACATGTATACTTTGTGGAATATCTGATTTTTCTTCTGTGTTCTCTATGAAATGGCCTCTAGTGGTCTTGCTTGAATGTTTCAAGAAAAGTTGTGTTGTCAACAAAGTAAATTCGCTTATCTGCAGTTACCTTTTTGGTTCTGCACAGGACAAGCGGGACTTAAAATCCATGTAGTGGAACCAAAGTATAGTTCCAGGGATGGCTTGGGAGTTGTTACCTGGGTAACATGAGATGGAGCATTTGCTGCTGTTTCTTTCCATTCATTTCATAAATTTGTATCCTACTTTTCTCCTGATCCATACTTCAAAGTGCCTTACATCTTAAATTAAGACAAAATACAATACGAAGCAATAAGTTATGACACTAGATAACAATTTTAAAATTAACTACGGAGTAAAAATTGCCTAAATATGTATTTTTAGAAATACTTTTAAATATTTGGCTAGTATTCAATAAATAAAAAAGAATACACAGACAGGTGTTTCTGACTCTATTGTGTTTAATGATAGCAATAATTGAGACACCTCCCCTCTCCTTTTCATAAGTTACAAGCATGAGAAAATGAATACATACATAACTTAATTTTTATTATACATTTACTAGGAAAGTGGGGGATGGGCGGAGAAAGAGAGGAAAAGGGGAAAAATGGTTTAATAGGATAATGGTTAGTTAGTTGCATCTTTACAAATGTCTACTGTGTCCTGAGAAGAAAATAAAGAGGGTAAGGGTTGTTGAGGTATGGGGAGTTCTTTTACAAAATTATCATTGTTTCAACTGAAGCCTGATCTGGCCACGGTGGTCCACGCTCTTGTTACATCCCGAATAGATTACTGCAACGCGCTCTACGTGGGGTGGCCTTTGAAGACTGTTCGGAAACTTCAATTAGTCCAACGGGTGGCAGCTAGATTACTCACCAGAGCATCATACAGGGAGCATACCACCCCTCTGTTATGTCAGCTCCACTGGCTGCCGATCCAGTTCCGAGCACAATTCAAAGTGCTGGTTTTGACCTACAAAACGCTATACGGCTCCGGCCCAGCGTACCTGTCCGAACGCAACTCCCTCTACGTCCCATCTCGGAGTTTAAGATCTTCTGGGGAGGCCCTGCTCTCGGCCCCACCTTTATCACAAGTGAGACTGGCGGGGACGAGGGACAGGGCCTTCTCGGTGGTGGCCCCTCACCTGTGGAATGCGCTCCCCGGGGAAATTAGGTCATCAACATCCCTCCTCTCTTTCAGAAGGAAGCTAAAGACCTGGATATGGGACCAGGCCTTTGGGTAAGCTGGCAGATGGATAAAAGACAATGGTGACCAGAGTAGGAAAGGACAATGACAATGCTGGATGGATTATGGATTTATGAATTGACGAACATTGACCACAAGATTTTATTGCTGCTATTGTATTGTTTTGATTGTTTTAACTAGTTATAACTGTTAACGTTATATTGTAATTTGTATATTGTAATTTGTAAATTGTTGGGCATCGAATTGTGCCTTTTGTAAGCCACCCTGAGTCCCCCATAGGGGGTTGAGAAGGGCAGGGTAGAAGCACTCCAAATAAATATAAATAAATAAATAATAAATAAGTCTTCATTTCTATTTCTTTAACACATATTTCATTGAAATATTGAGGATTGTAACAATTTTAATTTAAAGTCCTTTGGTTGTATCTTTTTATGTTTTCTCACATTGTCTCCTGGTCTTTGTATATTCTTTTCCAGTTCTTCTTCAATGAATAAATACTTATTGAAGGATCAATTTATCATCTTTTGCAATGATTTACAGTGTATAGTGGGTCCTTTGTATCCACTGCAGTTTGGTTCCAAGACTCCCCCGTCAATACAAAAATCTGTGAATGCTGATGTCCCATTCTATGCAATGGAATAGTAAAATGGTGTCCCTTGTATAAAATGGTAAAATCAAGGTTTGCTTTTGGGATTTTTACAAATACTTTCAAGCTGTGGATAATTGACTTCATGGATACAGAATCAAACGATATGGAGAGTAGACTGTACAATCAAACAAGGATATAATTTTGTTTCTTTGCCATTGTCTCAATTGTGGCCGAGACAGAATATTTTAATATAGTGGGGCATCTTGCTGGGGATTCACCAGTGCCTATAAGACCTTGTGTCCCTGAGCATGAGCAAAGCACTCAGCAGATTTTTGCCCTGTCATATTGTTGTGATTTATTTTTTAAAATATCTCTGCAAAACTAATGTCTTATCTCACTCTTTATCTAAACTTGCAAACAGGTGGAAAAGGACAAGTGGGCCAATCAAAGAGATGCAAAATATCCATCCAGTGCTACTACTTTTTTCTAACAAACTATACTAGAAAGTGATATTTATCACAGTTTTAAAGTTTGCCAGTTTGGGGATAGGAAAAAAAAACCAGTCTCAAAATGCACCAAATTTGTCCAATACCAAACAACAGTCCAAACTCATTCCATTTTGACAAGGGCCATTTTTATTTCATTATTTATTTTAATTTTTATTATATTTTACCTGTCGTGTTTACTCTGAAAGAATAAAGCAAGAAGGGATTCATATTCTTACACTCAAGACTCCTTTTGTCTTAATTTCTACTAGGTTGGAAAGAAGTCAAATTTAATCATGATTATAGCAATAAACACAAGGAAGAACACTTGTAATAAAGGTTTTGTGGTTAACTTTGTTAAACTGGATGGACACAGTTTTTTTACCACTGATACGCATTTGAAAATCACTAAGCATTCACTAAATATGCCGCTCAAGTGCCGGTGTTAAATGCCATTCTGTGTTGCACCACTCACAGTACAATGCATTCTTTCTTATTAAATGATGTTATGTTGAAGATGTAATTGTTTTTAAATGATTGTCTTTATCTTATTTACTGCTTTAAAATGAAGTGCAAATGGAGCAGAAAAATCTGTGATTAGTGATTTACAGAAATGTCCCTTATTGTAATTACATGTTTTTAATCAGTAAAATTGCTACCACATTCTAGTAACATTTTTCCTTTTACTCCTTTTCAGAATTCTGAGCAATAACAAGATCTTGTGGTTGAAGAACAACTCTTTCATTGGACTTAGATCCCTGGAGAGATTGTGAGTAGTTCCTACTCTTTGCATAATGTTTCTTTAATCATTGAAATGTTCAACTAAATATTCAGTATAACTCAATAGCTCTTAAATGTGCATTGGATTATGGCTTTTGGTGAGTTTTTCAAATTAAGAAGAGTAAATAAAACAATAATTGCATGAAAGTAGTAATGGCAATTTGAATCTAAAATAAATGAAAAGCAAAGCATGGAAATTCACATTTCTATATCCTATCAAAATGAAGGTCAAGAAACAAAAATTAATTTTATTTATGCTACATGGCAAAATTAACTCTTCAGTTCCCAAATTGTGTTATTGTGTTAGCCATCAGTATATGTATACCAAACAGCATATAGTTTATAATTCATCAGCAATAGTAACAAACATTGGGAGAGACCATTGTCACAATGCCTGGGCTCTGCCAGTATTCAGGCAGAGGTGAATCAAACAAACACTCAGTTTGTATCAAACAGTTTAATTAAAGTGGCACTTACTTTCTGGCTGTTTTAATAGTCTAAAATATAAAAAAGTAAAGATAGCACTCAGCCACAGAATATAAAGCAAAAACTGATAGCAAACATTACACTGTAGTTAAAGGGTCCAGTCCAGTGGTCAAATGCTGAGAGTTTAATGAGCAAAGTCCAGGGATCAAGAGTCTATACCGTTGTCAAAAGCCAGTCCAAAGATTCAAGGTTCCAGGGTTCCAAGAGTTCAGGAGACAGGTCAGGACACCGAAAAGCCAAAAACCTGGGGGAAAATCAGCAGCATCTACACCAAGATAAGACAAATACTTTACTCCCAAGGTTAACTCCTTAAATCCAGTAACACCCAGCTGCAACCTATCCCTTGCATGCCTCCACCCTTAATTGCTTTTACCTGTAAACTGATACTTACAAATTACTCAGCCCTTTAGAACTAAGACATAGATTAACCCTTTCATCACCAACTGCTAGGTCTGCCACCATCAACCACCATCAACTGCGGGACATATGACAACTATTGACTGAAGACTTCATTGTATGAGAGACTGTCACCAGGCAAATTGGTATAGCAGTTGGGACAGTCCCTATCATATGACACAGCATACCTCCTACTAATGATTTGCCTTCAACTTCACCCTGGCATGTGATGGCAAAGCCCATCAGTAGCTCCCTATTCAGATACATTCCTACTACCTAACATTGTCTTTCCAGTTCTGTGATTGCATACTAACAGTCAAATGAAATCAATTGGTCAGGTTTTCTCTTTCTCCCCCTCCCCCTTACTATTCCCAAAATTGTTGCTTTGCCATCTTTTTATATATTTCGTTAACAAATTTAATGCTATTATGGTGAAATTGTGCAAAATTTAAAAATACTTTTAAAATGAATGGCAAGGCACACTGGTAGAGAATAGTACAGGAAGACAGAGTTTGTTTGCAGGACCATGGATTGGCGTTTTTGCACTACTGAAGAGAAGTGTTGTATCAAAGGAACTTAATTTAGTATGTGTTTGTTATCTACACTAACATGACTGCTATGGCACAGCGGGTTGGTGTGAAAAAAATCTTTGTACAAGTTTTCTCAGTTGATCTTCACATGTTTTGACAAATTGGAGGACAAGTCTCTATGTTATGGAAAACACTGGGTTGCTGCAGAAAATCTAACCCATATGTCAAGTTATCCCTGCTTTCGTGAGACTTCATGTCCTGGCCTCTTGCTGGCATAATTTCTGAATTCTTGCCAGTGGAACTCAATGATGTAGAATATGGGAAGAAAAGCAATAAGCTTAACCATATTAGGAACAATATAGGTATACTGCTTGTTAAAGAAGTGGGGAGGAGAGCTTGAAATGGGTTTGTTGTTGATGGAGGTTCCTCTTGTATTATAATGTACAATTCTATACTCAGCCAAGATAAATAAAAGCAGAGGCCAAATATGTAGCTGCCAATTCATGTCAACTCATGAATAATGGTAATGAATTATGACTTCAGGGTCATATCTTAAACTACTTTCATGTGAACGAGTACAGTTCTTTCCATTCTCCTGAAACGTCTGTTGAATAATGTGCCGCACACTGCTTGGATTAATTTTTCATTCTGTGAAGTGACAAGTAGTCATTCTGGATAATTATACTGTAGGAATCTGAAAATAGCCCCTGAAGTTCCAAGGAGAAGATGCTTTACATGGTCCTTCCAAAAATTATCCTCATAATGGAACATTTGGCAAAAAAATTAAAATAACCAACCTCAAAGTCTTTGCCACCATGATGGGTAATAACCACTATTTGTAAATGCAACTGCTTTGAGGTTTGCTCAGGATAAAACACCCAGCTTCAATATATATTTATTAATATTCACTCTTAATGGTCTCAGATTTGTACTCCAGTAATGCTTTTAGATTTACAAAATCTTTTTTTAAGTTTGTCCTTCTTTTTTCCCTTTCCTTTCCATTCCTTGTGCATGATGCAAGGTTAGCTGCTCCACAAAGCTAGTGTGTTTAGGCAAACTTTACTCAATTTGTAAGATTACATCCTTCTTTTGATTTAAAGGCTGCTGTGGCTAAAGACCTTGGTGCTAATGGAATTCAAGTGCAGCAGTGATATCTGTGTCTAATTTAATTCGAGGTCATGGTTGTCCATAAAAGGTCATTAGGAAAGATCGATTTAAAAAGTTAGTCCAAGCCAAAGGTGTTCCTAATCTCACAGTGAGTCTCTAGGACTGCCAGGAAATATAAAGATTCTGTGGAGTTGAAAGCATTTCTAGCCCTCTAAACATATTCCATTGTTTACTATCTGCTCTGGGCCAGAGTGAAGGAGTGCTATTCTAATAATATAATGTAATATAATATAATAAATTATATATACATATACTATTTATAATATTATAATGTAATACAATATAATACTAATAATAATAATAATATGATATTATAATTATATATTTATATTACATGTAATATTACTAATAATCTATATGAATAAAAATGTAATGTTTGTTTATGGGATTAACATAACTCAAAAACCACTGGACAAATTGACACCAGATTTGGACACAATACACCTATCAGACCAATGAGTGACTGTGCTGTCACTCGCTGGGCCTGTGAAAGAGTCTGTAGACAGGACGTGTTTTTTGTATGCCCAACAGGACGCTGGGGGTGCCTCGGATTAGAGGCCCTTTGGATTTCCCTAAACAAAGTCTTTAGAAACTTGGAAAGTTTAACAAAGTTCTTTATTATTGCTTAGGTCTTCAATAAATCAAACAAATACTTCAAGGCTTTGCATCAACTGGTGGCTTTCTTAATCTTGTCCACAAGTGACAGGCAACTATCTTCATGAACTGTTTCTTTACTATCAGGGAAATCCTTGACCTCTACCTGGGCAATCTGTCTTAGGCTCTGCTGGCATGGGCCCCTACATCCGGTCCAAATTGCGTTATGGCTGCCGCGAGAGGTCCTTACCAAACAGAGTCCTTTTGTAGATTTCCAAGAGGAAAGAAGGTCTTCAATTCCCAGCGAAGACTGGCTGTAAAGCTGTGGAGCTGTATTTCTCCAGCAAAGAGCTGGCTGTAGAGCTGTGGGACTGGATCCCCCCAGCGAAAGCTATGCTTCTCTGTAGAGCTGTGGGACTGAACTCCCCCCAGCAAAAGCTGTAAAAGACGAAGCTTTCTACAGGTGGAACTGATTCACGTCCTGTACGAAAGGCTTCTCTGTGTGAACTGAACTAGAGGTCCCCTTTTTCCCTCCTAAACCCAGAAAAAAGGGCTGAACTGAAGAACCTAATGATGATTGATGGGTCATTGGCCCTATAATTGCAAACCAAGGGAAGCCACCTTATTGCAAAATGCATGGAACCTTGGAATACATGCAAGCCTTGAAGAAAGAAAAAGAAGTTGGAGCTCCTGGTACAGCCGTACCAGCACAGTGACCATCACTCATAAAAACACTGAAAAATGCTCCAGAAGAGATTTAAAAAGCCAACCCCCCCCCACACACAAATACATTACAACGCATGTGCAAAACCACACATATACACATATATATACACACAAAACACATATACACCGACTGGGTCACAGCAACACATGGCGGTGGACAGCTAGTATTACAATATAATGGTATAGTACAATATAGTAATATTTAATACTGATATTGTACTATGCTAATAATATAATATATTCTATATTGTAAGCTGCTCTGACTCCCCTTCGGGTGAGAAGGGCGGCATATAAATGTCGTAAATAAATAAATACATAATAAATTACTTTCATTGATCTGAATGAGGGTATGTATTAATATCTCAGACTGTGTTTAGATTAAGAGTACGTGCGTCTGTAATTCATTCTGTGGTGTTTACTGGTATTTCCTATATGTTAAACCCTCCATGCATCCTCTACCAATCTGTTTTTATTAAGCACTCAAACAGGGAGCAACATTAGTATTTTCTGGAAAAAAACTCTAGTATGAGGGAAATGTAGGTTTGTTAGCTAATATTTATTTATATACTATCAGTGGGATATATGTTCTCAAAACAGCCTATATGCAGTCAACACAGACACAAACTCATAGCATCAAAATCAAACATTCAGCGAGCCTCAACACATTAAACATTTCAGTTATTGTATATACTCATGTATAAGTCGTAGGAGCCCCTGGTTAAATTTTTGTGCTGGCAGGACTGCTGACTGAAAGGTTGGTCGTTCGAATCGAGGTAGTGGGGTGAGCTTCTGTCTGTCGGCTCCAGCTTCCTATGCAGGGAAATGAGAGAAGCCTTCCACAGGATGGTAAAACAGCTGGGCGTCCCCTGGGCAATGTCCTTACAGACAGCTAATTCTCTCACACCAGAAGCGACTTGCAGTTTCCCAAGTCTCTCCTGACAGAAGAAAAAAAGTAAGTCTAGAAATGCTAGTAAAAAACCTGGACCAACTTATCCATAAGACAATGTAAGTGCTGTAAGTGAACTATCTTCTTCTCTGAGTAAACATCAGCAAAGGTACCCGGTGATATCCAGGAGCTCTCTTAGCTGTG